AGATTCTTTGTGTTTCCTTTTGCACTTTAGGTTCAGCTTGTCAATTTCCACATACACAAAAAAAGCCTGCTAGGATTTTCATTGGAATTGATTTTTTATTGAGTTTAGTCTATAGATGAATTTGGAGAAAATTGATATCTCAAAAATACTGAGTCTTCCACTGTGTGTGGGTTTTTTTTGTATTTTTTATATCAGAAGTTTTTAAACTTTAGAGCCTATTTAAGAATCACTTGGGGATTTTTGTTAATACAAATTCTCCAGAGACTTTGATTTTGTAGGTCTCAGGGAGGGCCATTACATAATTTCAGAAATACTCATTGTAGAAAATAAAAATTCTGGGCACCTGGGTACCTGGTAGCTCTGTTGGTTAAGTGTCTGCCTTTAGCTCAGGTCATGATCCCAGAGCCTGCTTCTCCCTCTGCCCCCCTGCCCCCACCCTGCTCGTGCTCCCTCACTCTCACAAAAATAAATAAATAAAAATCTTAAAAAAAAAAAAAGTCTAGAAAATTACAAAAATTCCAATATTCCTTCATCAGATTCCCCAAATGTTAACATTTTACCATGTTTTCTTTCTTTCTTTCTCTGTCCCTGTCTCTCTCTCTCCACACACATGCACACGCACACACATGCACACAGTTACTATTTTTTTTAAGTTTTTAAGGATAAGTTACAGACATGGTTTCTCTTTATCCTTAAGTACTTTAGTGCATATTTCCTAAAACCAAGGATACTCTCTTACATAACCGCAGTACAATTATCCAAATGAGAAAAGTAACTGATACAGTTCAACAATATAATGCATACATAGAATCCATACATAGACCCTATTCACATTTTGGTAACTGCCCCACAAATGTCCTTTATAGCAAAGGAACCCACATGTTGTATTTAGTTATGTCTCTCTTTAATTATGGTTTTCAGTTTGTAGCTATACCAAATAGTTGTGATTATTTTGTCCTTCAGATTGTAAACATTTAGAAATATTAAGAACATGGGACTCGTTTCAACTGGATCCTGGTAATTTATGTTCATTCATTAGGCGGAAGTAGGTCCAATAATGACTTTGCTCTTAGACAAGAAAAATGCAGTTCCCTCTCCCTAAAACTTTTTAAAAGCGGTGTGGAACAGTCCCACATATGAGGAATACTGAGCTGCAAAATTCTGCAGAGGGGTCTGAGATTTGTCTTTTAGCACCATCCTAAGAAACTCTGGGAGGTAAGTTCCCTTAAAACAGGAATTTTAAAAATCAGAAGAATGTTACGCTTACATTCTTATAATCAACAGATGGCTCTGATTGTGTTTGAAATACAATGCCTCAGGAACAGGAAAGAAAAAAATGTGATGTGCTAAACTCCTGAATTCCATTTTCTTCCTCCATACTCTGTTGCATGGTTAAAATAAGTATAGAAACAATTTTCATAGGGGAGAAATGAAAACTTCTTTGATACAAGTGGGAAGGATACACATACAAATTAAATATTTTCAATTATTTCTTAATATTGGTTGCTATTTAATCCAAATGAATAAAACTTAAGTAGTTTTTGCAAAATTCTTCTGATGCTGTTTGCTCACGGAAATTTAATAGAATCATGTTCAAGATGAGAATATTCTTATATAAGTAGATTTGTTCTACAGTTTTGTTATTTCTTTCTGGTGGAGCCATTTTATTTCTTTTTTAAAAATAATCTTTTGATTATAAGATAATTCAGACTAGTTATTAGAAAAACTGAGCAGGGTGGAAGGACTTTTAAAGACCCTAGAGAAATTCCATATTCTTATCCAGAGGTAATTATTATTAGTATTTTGGCATATTTTTCCTCCTGTTTACCTGTTTTTAAACAGGTGTTTTTTACTAAAGTAATATTTGCACTGGACAACAAATCAAATAACATTTTGGACTGAACCGTGTGCCATTGGTTCTTTAAAGGTCTCAAGCAGTCAGTAGGGCCTAATAACATTTACGGAGAATTTCCCGTATACCGTCGCTATTCCAAAGGCTTTCTGTGTGTTATCTAAGTTTCATTAACCAATTATTTTTCCATGTTATAAATATTACTGTCTTAAATTTTGAAAAACTGATAAACCTCGAACTTAAAGGAATTTATCAGTTTATGTACATCAGGTCTTTGAAGTGAGCATCGGTAAAACATGTTATTAGGATTCATGGACTTTTCCAATTCTGCTAACACTGATGGGGCATTTGTCCTGGATTAGACACTGTACTATGCCTTTGCATTTGTACTTGCTTGTTCAGTGCCCTTGAACTGATATTCAGCATCCAGGTGAGAGCACTGGAGTCAGAAAGAGTGAGAGCAGCAGAGGAAGATCATTACTTAATGCTGTGGGAATGGCATGTGTCCTTGAAAGCACTGAAGGACCCTTCCCCACCCCTAATCGTAGACCTTGCCACCACTCCTTGCCAAAAGTCTTCAATTCATGGAAAAAATGTAATCTTCATCCCCGATTTTGCTAGAACACTTCTTTTCTATAAAGCTAGGGAAACCTACAGGCAGCTTTGAAGCTGGAAGTGGGTCATTGAATCAGTCATTCCCTTTATATGTGAGAGATTGGGAGTCAAGATTTTTTTGCAAATGCAGGACTGGCTCTATGAAGTTCCAGCTCATTCCCAGCCAGGCAGCAGTGCGTAACCTGCTATGATCAATTATATGTGTGGTTCATACATTTCCTCCCATTTTTTAATTTTGGAAAATTTCAAACCTACAGAAGTACTGAAAGAATAGTTCAGTAAGCATTTTTTTTAACCTGGATTCACCAGTTCTTAGTGTTTTTCCACATTTGCATGTGTGCGCACATCCTCCCTCTCTTCCTCCACACACACTTTGTTATTATTGTTGCTGTTGAACCATTTGAAAGTAAGAAATTAAGTTGTAGACATCATGGCACTTCATGCTAAATACTATAGAATGTGTCTCTTGAAAACAAAGATTTTCTGCATAATCACAATCCCATTATCATCCCCAAGAAATTTCTTAGTGATACAATAATCTTATTTAATATATGGTTCATATTCAAATTTCCTTAATCGTCTTCATATTTTCCTTTAAAGCTAGACCAGCTTCTACACCTTTTTTTTTAAGATTTTATTTACTTAGAGAGAGAGAGAGAGTGAGTACGAGCAAGGGCAGAGGCAGAGGGAGAAGCAGGCACCCCGCTGAGCAGGGAGCCCGACCTGGGACTTGATCCCAGGACCCTGGGATCATGACCTGAGCCAAAGGCAGACGCTTAATCAACTGAGCCACCCAGGTGTCCCACCTTTTATTTGTTTTTTAATCTCTTATAACTCTGATATTTTCTGAACAGCCCCAGTTACTTATCTTATAGAATGTCCCAGAGTCTGGACTTGCCTAATTATGTTGTCATGATTAGAGTTGAGCATTTTTGGCAAAAAGACCACAAAAGTGATGGGGTTTATTTCCCATTAGATCATATCAAGAGGCATCATGTCATTTTGTCACTTTATTGGTGATGCTAAATTTAATGACAACGCTGTACATTTTGGCTGAGCTTTATTTGTTTCTGACTTTTAGTACTGGTGAAGTGCGTGGGGCCTCGCAGCCAAAATGTGGAAACAACCCAAATGTTGAATGGTGAATGTTGAACAGACATGATACAGCCAGAGGGGAATATTATTCAGCCCTGAACAGGAATGAAGTACTGATACATGCTTCAAGATGGATGAACCTCAAACACCTGATGTTAAGTGAAAGTCTACAGAAGCTTACATATTGGATTATTCCATTTATATGAACTATCTAGAGTAGGTAAATCCATAGATATCATGCAGAGTGGTGGTTGCCAGGGGCAGGGAAGAAGGGAATAGGGAGTAACTGCCTTATGGGTACAGGGTTTCATTTTTGAGTGATCTAAGTATTTTGCAACTAGCTAGATGTGGTAGTTGTACAACACTGTGAATGTATTAAGCACCACTGGATTGATTTCTTTAAAATGGTTCATTTGTGTTATGTAAGTTTCACTTCAATAAAAAAAAAAGTGAGGGGGAGGCAGCTTCCTAATGATGTAGAGGAAGTAGAATCTGTGGGCATGAAGTTATAATAGAATATGAATGATAAAGGCTGGCTTGTGGTTTTCTTTTTCTTTTTTTAATTTTAATTTTAATTTGTTTTTTTGGCTTGTGATTTTTCATTCAACATATACCTCAGTCAAAGCAACTAAAATTCAGGCCTTCTGTGCAACTTGGTTTGTGGATCAAGACAATTTTAAAAAAGTATCAGCATCAGTTTTGAGAACTGTGCAGTATGTTGGAGTAGACTTTCGTATCTTTTCTCTTTGACCTCCAATTCAGAAGAATCATGTTACCTTGGATTGCTTAATGAGATAAAAATAGAAAAGAGAGGTGATCTGGTCACCTAGTTTTTTTTAGTGTTTTCTTCTTTCAATCCAATTTAGGATCACGGGATTTAAAAAGCTATTTTGGTGCTGTTTATGATATGAAATATTAAAGAATGTATGCAATGTGTGGAGTGGGAGTTTAAATTAGACCAACTCCTTTGGATCGTAAGGAATCAAAGTGTATCAAGTGACAAAGGTGTTTCTGCTTGGTGATCCAGGGTTTTACTGACTGTCCTCTAGAAGTAAATTAAAATGTAGGGAAAATGTTATGCAGGATTATGTTTATAGAGTAAATTTGTTAGAAGCCCACATTTTCAAAAAGAAAAGGATGGTTGAATTAGTATTGCCATTCAATGGAATGTGAATCAGTCATCAAAATACCATTTTTGAAGAGGTTTTAATACAAAATTTATAATATAAAACAGCTAGTGTGAGATCATCATAAGAGATACAATACAGAAATTTTTTTAAAAATGTGATCAACCATGTTAAGGAAACATAACCTGTTCATAGGAAAAAAAAAAAAAAAGACCACAAAGAAAATTTTAACAGTACTTTTTGTTGAGTGACAAGAATGTTGGTGCTATTTTATCTGCTTTTACTTTCTGCATTTTCTAAACATTTAATAGTAAATACAATTGCTGTAACAATGGCTTCCATTTGTCAAGTGCTTTCTGTGTGCCGGGCACAATGGCATGTCTACATTTATTTCCCCACGGTCCTTGGAGGCGGCTGCTGTCATTAGCTCATCTCACAGGTAAAGAAAGGCATTAAGGTTCAAGAAGTAAAAGAACTCGCCCCAGGTTAGGCAGCTAGTTGGTGGCAGATTCCAACATAAGCAGTCCAATTCCAGATCCATGTTTTAACCATTATCGATGCAGAACACTTAGTGGCTGTTAAACATAGATGCAGTATGTATTCAATTAGTGTGTGTGTGGTTGGGTTAGAGTGGAACACTGAATTAGTAGCCCGGGGACTTTATTTCTGGATCTGCTCTTGACTCCTTCTGTGGTTCAAATTAAGTTACTATGCTTTTTTTCTCAGTTTCTCCATCATTATAGTAAGGAAAATAGAACCTCCCATTTGCCTGATTTCTTATGCTTATGAGCCTGCCTACATGCTTGTAATAAATATTTGTAAGTTTATGGTGCTGTTGCCATGAGCTAAGACTAGTTTGGTTTTGTAAGAAAAAAAAAGTGTGTGGGTTTAAGAGTTAGGCAGATCCAGGTTAAAGTCCTTTGGACCCTCAGAATCCTTGCACCTCAGTTTCCACATCTGCAAAATGGGGACAGTACTGTGTACCTTGAGGAGAGAAAATGACATTGCCTGGGAGGTGGTCGCCACTCAGCAACTGTCCACTCCTGTCTCTGTTCCATCTCAGCTCACCTGATTTAGAGTAGAGTACAGAGTAATGAGACCTACCAAAGTTTCTTGTACATTTTGGACACATTTTAGTAAAATAAAGAGAAAATTAACCAACAGTGGTAAATTGTCAGCCCTCAGAGCTGGGTAGAGGGAAGCAGGTGAAGCAAAATGAAATGATCCTGGTAGGAATGAGGGCAGAGGACACTCTTTTTGGCCGGGCTTCTGGAATCATGCTGGCTTTTCCAGAAAGCAACAAAACACCCCACGGAGGGGTAGAGGGCACATACTTCCTTCACCTTTCATGCACTTTTCTTTAACAAACTTCTTTAACCTACCCTGGAGAGAGCAGGTCATTCCTCTTATGGGGGTCAATTCTGTATTTAGGTTAAATCTATACTGGGATATTTACTGACTTATATGTCTCCAGAAATATAAACATACGTTCTGTTTTTGGCAAAAAAAAAAAAAATTTGTATCTACAAAACTGATAGGTCAAGGTGCTGTTAATCAGATACCATAATGGATGGTTTGGGAATAAAACTCTTTGTAACGAACTTGATAGGGAGTAGACAGGAGTTTGGGCGACCAAAGTCAGCTCTAAAACCAAGACTGCAGCACCTAACAGAAGAGGAAGAGCCAGTGGCACTCCTTAAAGTCATGGGTGGCATTTATTGAGCGCTTACTGTGTGCCAAGCTTTATGACTTTATGCTTCCCTCCTCCTTTCTCATTAATATTTCTCTCCCTCTCTTTTTATTTTTTATTTCTTTTTAAGATTTTATTTATTTATTTGACAGAGAGAGAGATAGTGAGAGCAGGAACCAAGCCGGGGGAGTGGGAGAGGAAGAAGCAGGCTCCTCGCCGAGCAGGGAGCCCAATGCAGGACTCAATCCCGGGACCCTGAGATCATGACCTGAGCCGAAAGCAGACGCTTAACGACTGAGCCACACAGGCGCCCCTCCCTCTCTTTTTAAAAGATTTATTTATTTATTTGAGAGAGAGCATGCGATTAGGGGTGGGAGGGGCAGAGGGAGAGGGAGAGAATCTTAAGCAGGCTCCCCACAAAGCGTGGAGTCGCTCAGTCTCAGGAACCTGAGATCAGAACCTGAGCCGAAATCAAGAGTCGGACGCTTAACCGACTAAGCCACCCAGGCGCCCCATATTTCTCTTCTTCTAAATAGTTTTTAGTATCATAGCACAGACATAAAAAGAAAATGTCTAGCTTAGCTTTGTGTATTACTTTAAGGCGAGCATTCTCGTCACTACTACTCAGGTCAAGTTTTCTCCGTTCTTGCTTCATGTATTTTGAAGCTTTGTCATTCGGTGCATAAACAATTTGGATTTTGCTTTGTCACAATGAAATTTTGCAAGTAGTGAAAGATGAACTAAGATTCCTACGCTATTTCTGTTTCTGGCAACAGAGTTCCTGAAAACGGAGTTTGTTGCTAGAATGTTCCCTCTTTGTGGGCACATAAATGATGACTGCTCACCAAGGTAAATATCTGTAGTAGGAACTCCTCTGCACCCCTTCTTTCAGTAGTGATTCCTCCATGTATCACGTCAGGGAGGCGCTGTGGGCCAGGGACTTTGAGAGTGGACTGTGGATTTAGATCAACCGCTTCCTTTCTGTGGGGCTTGGTCAGTTCATTTAATCTCTCTATGCCATTTTCTCTTCTACGAAAAGGACCATGGCTGCTTCATTAATACTGTAGCTATATAAGGATTACATGAAGATATTTTGGCAGAGTACATAATACAATACTTGGCATATAGTCAATATTCAGTAAATGTTAAATAATACTGTATCATTGCTGTCTTGTTATATTGGACTGAGGCTCAGTTTAATGCACTTTTTGTATTAATTAAATCCCCCTGCCATGGACCACTGATTATGTAATACAGTGAGCAGATGCTAACTAACCCTGATTCCTGAGGTCTTTCCCTTTCTTACAGCACAGGTGTGCATTGGAATCATCGTGATACTGATCATATACAACTTTTGGTTCCTCTATGTCCCTTATATGACATGGCTTTACTTTGACTGGAGTACCCCAGAGCAAGGAGGCAGGAGATCCAACTGGGTCAGAAGCTGGACCGTTTGGAAGTATTTTAAGGACTATTTTCCAATTCACGTGAGTAGAATTGTTTATGTTGTAGTATCTTGAGCTGGGAGAAGAATCGAAATTTGTTTTCATCACAGATAGTTCAAGCTTTTTTCTTTTCAGAGAGAGAAAGCCTGCAAATCAGCCCAAATTACTAAATGGGATCTAAGCTAAATTGACACCATTTCGAAGGCTATGTGTGGGGTGTTCTGGGCTCAGGAAATAGTTTAAAAATTTGGAAAAAGCTCCAATCCAGAGAACTAAACAAGTCATGTTTTCCATTTCCTTTTTTTTAAAAAAATATTTGAGAAAGAGAGATAGGCGAGAGAGAGCGTGGGCAGAGGGGAGAGGGAGAAACAGGCTCCCTGCCAAGCAGGGAACCCAATGTGGGGCTCGATTCCAGGACCCTGAGATCATGACCTGAGCCAAAGGCAGATGCTTTACCAGCTGAGCCCACCCAGGTGCCCCTCCATTTCCTTGTGACATAAAAACTAATCATGAGTTTCTTGGTTTCTTATTGGAATCTAATCTGGACCATTTTATTATTTTTTTAACCCACTGTACACTGTAGCTCATCAAAACTTGGGATTTGGATCCAAGTCACAACTATGTATTTGGGTTTCACCCCCATGGAGTGCTTGTTGCTGGAGCCTTTGGAAATTTTTGTACAAATTATTCGGACTTCGAGGAGCTGTTTCCTGGCTTCACTGCATATCTTCATGTGCTCCCATTTTGGTTCTGCTGTCCTCTCTTTCGAGAATATCTGATGAGCAGTGGTAAGTGAAGGCAAATCGTTATTTCTCCAGTGTTCTAGGGTGGCAGGACCACACCTCCCAAACACTGGTTTACAGTTTCTTAGCAAAACCCTGTTTCTGTATCCCTGTCTGATACTTCCCATGCTGCTTGGATGATTCTTGCCTCCCGCCCTGGACTGGAAGTTCCAGGAAGACACAGACCGTGTCTTTTTCTTTGTTTTCCCCACCCCTTTCTAGCGTAGGGCCTGGGATATAGGAATATTCAATAGATGTTAATTCAATGAGAGAATAAATTGATGAATGCGTTTTGTGTATCCAGATGTGGAAGAAAGAATCTTGGGTCAAACAAGTGATAGATTGCACCTTTGGAAAAGCACTTGGCCTGCGTTTATGAGCATTAGAGATGGAAAATGTCCTCCAATATGTCTTGAAGTAATGGCCGTATATAAATGAAGCATACTTAATCTGTCTTTTTCTTCCTAGATTAAATAGAACTTGGCTTAGAAATGAGTTCATTCTATTGAATGAACTGAGCTGGTGGAAGACTCTTTGATTAATGAAACCATAATTCTACCAATTCCAAGAATAAAATTTAGCTGAAACGCTCACTATAAAGACACTATATGAGTGTGCACAGAGGCTAAGCTTGTGTTAACAGTTCTCACGTCCATTTGAGGGATTCAGTTTATTTGGTTTTCTAACTTGACCAACTTAATGACTCAGCATGAACTACAGTACCTTACAGAGTGCTTTATGTTTATCGTCTACATTAACTATTGTTGTCTTGCATTTCTTGGATATAAGGAAAAGTAGATAGTCTCTTTTTGAAAACTTATAATTTCAAAAAAATTTTACAATTTCAGGATGAATAAGTAGATATTCAGAGATAGAATTTTCCAGGGTCTTCCAGGTTTTCATTACTTCCTATTAATTTCTCAAGTCTCTGTTGTCATTATATACCTGATAGGAAATCACTAAGCACTAGAGGACCAGGATCCCTGGCTGGGTTTTCAGGTTCTGTGTATGGACCTTCACCCATATGGCTCTGGGCTCTTGGTCCAGTCTGGCTGTCACTGCATCTGGCCTCTAGAGGGCGCACCAAACCTCGAAACTACTATATAGGCAAAAACAACAACAACAAAAACAAACCCTTCCTTGTTTTGCCGACATCGATTGGGTTAGTTTTATAAAAGGAAAAAAATTAAAGGGAAATTTTTTAAATTTCAGAAAAGCACAGAAATACATTTACAGTATACTGTTTGCTGATTCCAGCCACAAGTGAGGTTGGGTAGTGGTAACTGAGAGTAGGTGTGGCAAATTTATGGTACAGGAGATGTAGGTACACCCCTCTCCGTGGCCACGTCAGATACATATAATCAACCTTAAGAGTCTTTCTCCATATAGTGCCCTCAGAGTCATTGCCATTTGCTTGAGCTGGCATTTGAGATGAAACTTGTCTTTTCTCTCTGGCTTATGATATCATGAGATCTTTTCCTTTTTGCTATAAGCTGAGATATCCCAAAAGCTAAATAAAAATATCCAGATTTGTAGCTGGTAGAGTTTCAGGGCGTCCTTATCTCAAAATTTGGAGAGTTCTCAATTTTTTTCTAGAACCAGCTTCCAGGACAGGCTCTGGTCCAAGGCTGCCCTTTTACTCTCTGCCTTTCTTGGTGGTTGCCTCTCTGGGTGTGAAAGACAGACAGACATGTGTACCAAACCCATGTAGTAAAGAAGCAGTAGAATTTCAGAGGTCCTTTGCTGACCAGTGCCTGTTTTCCTCTTTTGCTCTTACCCATGGGATTTCCGTCACTATAAGTCCCTGTAAGTCCCCCCTCCAAACTTTCCCTCTTGGTCCATTTTGGTGACTCTCTATTTATCAGGTGTCAGCCAGGGCACATTCTGTGTTTCGAGGCTCACGTTCCTTCCCATGTGCCCAGTAAGGCTCTACAGGTAGCAGAGATCAGATCACAACAGCCACGTATAGAGCCCAGAGGAGGTCGATATGGAAAACAGCTGATGGATTCAACAAGACGTAGTGATTGATGCGGCCTTAGGAGGGTAGCAACTGTGTATGTCGTATGATCAGCATCTAGCCCAGTGTCTCACCTGGAGCAGGTGCTCAATAAGTGTTTTGAAGGAAGGAATGAATGGAGTCAACATGGTTGCTAAGAAGAGGGGAATATGTTTGGGAGGAGCCTACATCTCTGACTTGTGCGACAAGATAGATGATGGTCCCATTCACCTTGAGGGGTAGTGTTGCAAGAAGAATACAGTGCATTGGGTCTGGAAACATGGAGTTTGAGGTGTCTTTGAGTTGGCAAGGTAGACATGTTCATGGGCCATTGGGAAGTGTGGGTATAGAGCCTCAGGAAGAAGAGGTCCCAGGAGATAGATTTGGGAGAACTCAGCCCACCTAAGTGGTATTTGAATCCGTGTATGTAGATAACATTAGAAGATATTAGAGACTATGAAGGAGCCTGTCTTAGCTTGCTATAACAGAATGCTATTGACTGGGTGACTTAAATAATAGATAGTTATTTCTCACTGTTCTGGAGGCTGGATGTCCAAGATCAAGGTGCTGGTAGATCCGGTGTCTGGTTAGAGCTCCTTTCCTGACTTGCGGGCAGCCATCTTGTTATGTCCTCACATGACGGAGAGATAGCACCCTGCCTCTCTTCCTCTTTTTATAAGGACACTGATCCCATCTTGGGGGCTAAAACATTCTCATGACCTAATTACTTTCCAAAGGCCCTACCTCTTAATACCATCCTACTGGGGATTAGGGTTTCAACATAGAAATTTTAGAGGAATACAAATATGTAGTTCTTAGAGCCCTAAGACATAGCAGCAGTTAAGGATGGCCTATAAAGGTAGCCCAGAGAGGGAATTGAGAAGTGGGCCAGAGGAGAGCTGGTGTCTGGAAACTCAGAAGGCCCTCTTTCCAATGGAAGTTATGCCTCCAGCTCCCACTCAGGGCATGCAGAGTGGAATGGCCATGCCTTGAACCCAGTAGAAATTCAAACCCATTGAGACTCAGGTACTCTACCCTCTAACCCACCACCCTCTGCCTCTTTAGTAGGTGGTTGGTCACTCAGAATCCTGCATTATTTTATATTCCCCCAGTAATAGGCACTTACAGTAAAATGAGCATATAATCGTCCTTTGAGAAATGAGGTGTGTTGTGTCTTAATAAAGCCTGTCTGACACATTCTCTTATGACTAAAAAAATGGATAAAGCCATGAATGGAAGGAAACAATAAGACTTTAAAAAGCAATTATCTCTTTAATACAGTAGGTCATGAGTGGCTTGTATTTTCATTTTTTTTCCCTTTAAGAGTTCATGGCCTTTTCCTCCAAGAGTACATAGTACATTCAAAATCTGAAAACGAATCTTTAAAGTTATTTTTATGTGGGAAAGCCTGGTACAAAGACCAAACAATTATATAACTATCTTAAATAAACAACTTATCAAAGTCAGACTAGACATTTTGGAACCATGTAAAGATCTGGTTATTTGTCAAATGTCTGAATTTTTGAAATCATTTACATTATAAATCTAGGTTTGGGAAACAAGAATCCACATAAAATATCTGAAAACAGGCCCTTGTGTGTTCAGAAGACCCAGTGCAACCTCTTCTAAAGGATATGCTTTTTGGTTCTGAGCCAGGATTCACCAGAGTAGTGATCAAGGTCACCACATACAGCGATGCAGGTTGTGCACTGAACAACTGCAGAGGGCACCTTTCACTTATAGTGCAATATGAATAGAGTCCCTAGAGTTGAGCAGCCTACAGCCTACCCAAATAAGTGGTAGATCTAATAACAAATGACATTTTAAAGACCTAACCCAATCACCTGACAAAATGTTATATTTTATGAATGGAATATATTACCAAAGATCTGGCTGTGACAAAATTTTAAGCAAGATGTTCTAGGGAATTTTGTTAAATGTTCACTGATGCCATTGAATATTATGACAAAAATATTTTAATTTTTAAGATAAATACTTAGCCCTTTTGTTTTATTCACTAAGGGTCAGTCTCAGTTTCTAAGAAAAGTGTGTCCCATGTGCTGAGCAAGGAGGAAGGTGGAAACATTTCAATCATTGTTCTTGGGGGTGCAGAGGAATCACTGGATGCCCATCCTGGAAAATTTACTCTGTTCATCCGCCAACGGAAAGGATTTGTTAAAATTGCTTTGACCCATGGGTAAGTAGCTTCTCATTTCAGGTACTTGGGTCAGAGAAGTTAAGGTGTTATTAAATGAACACAAAGAAATAAAGTAATTTTTTCCAGTCCTTAAAGACAGACTTCCTCTTAGCTGACCTTCCAATAAAAGCAGATTTGGATGTTCATGGGAAATGGCATACAACCTTCCCCCTAAGGTAGTTCAATGCCATGGCATCCAGAAGTTAAACTCACCTTTAAAAACAAAGCAAACGGGCACCTGCGTGGCTCAGTCTGTTGGGCATCTGCCTTCAGCTCAGGTCATGATCCTAGGATTCTGGGATTGAGCCCTGCATTGGGCTCCCTGCTCAGCAGGGAGTCTGCTTTTCCCTTTCTCTCTGACTCTTCCCCCCTACTCATTTTCTCTCTCTCTCAAGTAAACAAATAAAATCTTTTTTTAAAAAAGCAAACAGGGCACCTGGGTGACTCAGTCATTAAGCGTCTGCCTTTGGCTCAGGTCATGATGGGATCAAGCCCCGCATCGGGCTCCCTGCTCGGCGGGAAGCCTGCTTCTCCCTCTCCCACTCCCCCTGCTTGTGTTCCCTCTCTCGCTGTCTCTCTCTCTGTCAAATAAATAAATAAAATCTTAAAAATAAATAAATAAATAATTTAAAAAGCAAACAAATAAAAAGTACAAAATGTTATATACGGAGTATAAATTTCCAGCCAAATGAACAAACGAATCATGGTCTGGACTCTAGGTGGAAAGGAAGCTTCCCAGAGCCTTGATTTTTCTACGGAATAAAATACCACGAATCGCTAAGCTGCTGAAGTACTGCCCCAAAGGATTTCTTTTTTTTTTTTTTTAAGATTTTATTTATTTTTTGACAGAGAGAGACACAGCAAGAGAGGGAACACAAGCAGGGGGAATGGGAGAGGGAGAAGCAGGCTTCCCACGGAATAAGGAGCCCGATGCAGGGCTCGATCCCAGGACCCTGGGATCATGACCTGAGCCAAAGGCAGATGCTTAACGACTGAGACACCCAGGCACCCTGCCCCAAAGGATTTCAAGTATAAGTCAGTTTCATTGTGTGGAACATGAAATTAGCAGTATAGGGAGACATGGGAACATTGAAAAATTCTTGGTTCAGTGATTCATCAGCGTACAACACCCAGTGCCCATCACAACGCGTGCCCAATCATTGAACACTACATCAAAAACTAATGATGTACTATATGCTGGCTATTTGAACATAATAATTAAAATAAATAAATGAATAAAGAGGTTGAAAGAAAAAATTGTTGGGATATGTTGCAAAAGTCATCTGAACAGAATAAAATACTTAAATCATTTTCCTTAAAAATTTGTATTGTTCCGCTTTATTTGTAGCGCCTCCTTGGTCCCGGTGTTTTCTTTTGGAGAAAATGAGCTATTTAAACAAGTTAACAACCCTGAAGGCTCATGGCTTCGAATTGTGCAAGAGAAGCTACAGAAGATCATGGGCTTTGCTTTGCCGCTGTTCCACGCCAGAGGAATTTTTCAATACAATTTTGGCCTGATGCCCTATAGGAAACCTATCCACACTGTTGGTATGTCTATCGAAGACTAAAGGCTTGTTAGAATAAGTAAAAGTATTACCTTACTTTGAGCAACGTTATTGTTATTGATTGCAGGGCTAATGCAAGAGAAGTGGCTTTGATTAAGAACTTCCTAAAATAAGAATCCTATAGATGTGATTTGAGCTTCATTTATGGTATGCCTTTTAGCTAAGAAATGACTGTATTTTCCACTTGGAAATTGATTACTTTCAAGAATACTACTATTGAACTACAACAGGGAGAATCCAATTTAGACATAAAGTTCCTAGTACTTTATATGAATTTATTTCTCTGTACCAGCAGATTGTAACGTAGCAATTCTTTGATGAACACATTATATCAGTCTATTAATCAATGCAGATTTCTGTGTAATAGAAATCTTCATCATGTGCAATTCACCTGGGTACTAGTATCTGTAGCAAAAACATTTTGGGGGGCCTCTTGCTATTTTTATATGTATTCTAATATGAACTGATTTTATTTTAAAAAGTGGTACATTGTGGGGGAATTGAGATGGGGGAGGAAGGTGACAGATTGTTGATGGAAAGACTGAGGAGCAGAGTAATTAGCTCTTCACACTGAAAAGGACCTGGATTGCTGAGCAGGAGAAAGTGCAGAGCCAGATGCCAGTAGCATAGTTAACAAAACTGTATACTTCATCTAAACCTGGAAGTAATAGTTTCACCATGGTAGCCCATTAAAATACATTCAGAATGTTTTTAGATCTGTTTCATTAGAATAGGATTTTACTATTTACTGTCAGTTTCTGAGAGCTTTGCATGTCACGTGCAGTCACATGACACTATTTTTAAATGAAGTATTTAATTCAAATGGAATGTTAGCAGACTGTTGATTAGTTAGTGTAATGGGAACACGGAGATAAGTTTGCAATTGTGTTTTTCCAAGATAAACTGGTTATATTTCTTTGGCATAATATATATTTTTTAACCAGATAATCAACATGGGTTAGACCGTGATTTTTCTTTGCTGTGATATTAAGTAGTAATTTTTGGTCCCTTATGTGCAAAGTACTGTAGTTGGCATTTTTGGGGATATGAGGAAAATTGAAAGACATGATTTTTAGGAGCTAAAAGTTTAATTAAATATAACTGATACACACATGAAGTAAGTTGTTGATGTTGAAAGCCAAGTGTATTTTGTTGATTTAAATGGTTATAGTTATCGCCTCTATGGGGGTAAACTGTAGTTTTAAGTAAAGTGGTCATCCTATGATACAGCCTAATTATAAACCTACTGACAAATAATTAATTGGTCAGGGGTCAAATGGAAATGACCGAATCGGAATTCATTGTTGCGACTAGAAAACCTAGAACTCTGGTCTTCACTCATGCCTGTCTAATGCGTTTTTCTTCAAGACTTAGAATAAGAGAAAATTGCTTCAGTCCACTCTTCAGCCTACCTCCCAAATGATCACATCAGAAATAGCATATCTAGTCTCTAGCATCCTCAGTATCCTGCTGTTATTTGAAGCCTTTTAAAAACCAAGCTGAGAATCACAGACCTGTACCTCTGAAACAAATAATACGTTATATGTCAAAAAAAAAAAAAAGAAGAAGAAGAAGATAGTAGGAAGGGAAAAATGAAGGGGGGGAAATCGGAGGGGGAGATAATCCATGAGAGACTATGGACTCTGAGAAACAAACTGAGGGTTTTAGAGGGGAGAGGGGTGGGGGGATGGGTTAGCCCGGTGATGGGTATTAAGGAGGGCATGTATTGCATGGAGCACTGGGTATTATACGCAAACAATGAATCATGGAACACTACATCAAAAACTAGTGATATAATGTATGGTGACTCACATAACATAATAAAATAAAATTAATAACCTCCCCCACAAATTCTCAATATAATAATGTTTGTAATAGTGAAAAATTATAGCCTACATCTCTATTAAGGAAATTGATAAATAAATGGTGGTTTATCAATAAAAAAAAAAAAAAACCAAGCTGAGAATATGAACGTTTACATAAAGTCTCAGCTACCATGAGTTTGATTTTATGGTGGCAGAGTGGGAGTCAGACAGATTAAGAGCAACCTGATTTGGGTGAACCAGACCTTCACAGACTATGTGCATCTAAAGACTTTTATTTGGGGGATGCCTGGCTGGTTAGTTGGTAGAGCACATGACTCTCGATCTGCGGGTCAGGAATTCAAGCCACACATTGGGCGTGGAGCCTCCTTTAAAAATAAATAAATAAATAAATAAAATGAAGACTTGTATTTGAAATAACACATGTGAGGATAGAATATTGACAATTCCATAAACAGAAGCAAAGCTACATATCAATCCAGTGCAATGCGATATGGTAACAGTGATCTAAGTTACTATGTTGAGTTCTATTTTTTTTTTTAAAGATTTTATTTATTTATTTGACAGAGAGAGACATAGCAAGAGAGGGAACACAAGCAGGGGGAGTGGGAGAGGGAGAAGCAGGCTTCCCCGTGGAGCAGGGAGCCCGATGTGAGGCTCGATCCCAGGACCCTGGGATCAAGACCTGAGCCGAAGGCAGATGCTTAACGACTGAGCCACCCAGGCGCCCCTGTTCAGTTCTATTTTAAATCAATGCACTTCAAACTCAGAGTTCTTTGCTGACTTGCTGACACAGCCCAGGCAGATCAGGTAGAGTTGAGACCAGCAAGTTGTTTTGTGGTCCTTCTGCTCCCCTTTCATTTAAATAAGAGTTTGTGAACTTAACTCTACCTCATAAGAACTCAGTAAATATTAGTTCAGTTAGTTAAATCATCATTTCATCTATAATCCTCGCACCCACAGCTGTCTGGAGATGCTCAGGTTCTCCATCCTACAGCCTCCCCACACACCTGTGAGACCTTACTTCCTCAGTGACCTCAGAGCATTCATTTCAGTGTTAGTGATTCTCAAATACAGTGAGCATTACTAACACTGTAAGGGTTTTGTCTGTTAATATCCTACTAATTGAATCCTCTTAAAAATGTGATCTCACTAAATCCAAAATGCCATCATCAGGTCACACTTAACCCTCTCTGCATATTTCTTATACTACACCTTGCTAAACCATCAGATTTCGTTTCTCTGCATCCTCCATCAGAACCATCTTTCCTATTTTTTTTAAAGATTTTATTTATTTATTTGAGAGAGAGCGTGCATACACAAGTGGGGGGAAGGGCAGAGGGAAAGGGACAGGCAGACTCCTCACTAGCATGGAGCCTGGGGCTTGATCCCAGGACCCTGAGATCATGACCCGAGCTGAAGTCAGATGCTTAACTGACTGAGCCACCCATCTTTCCCCTTAGCTGAGGGTCACTGACTGGAAATAATTTGTAAAGAAGATACCATATATTAGCATCTGCATAGCAAAGGAAACAATCAACAAAACTAAAAGCCTACTGAATGGAAGAAGATATTTCCAAATGACATCTCTGATAAAGGGTTAGTATCCAAAATATATAAAGAAGTTATATAACTTAACTCCCAAAAAACAATCCAATGAAAAAATGGGCAGAAGACATGAAAAAAATGTTTCTCCAAAGAGGAAATACAACTGGCCAACAGACACATGAAATGGTGCTCGACATCACTCATCATCAGGGAAATGCAAATCAAAACTACAAAGAGATATCACCTCACACCCTTCAGAATGGCTAAAATAAAAAACACAAGAAACAACAAGTGTTGGTGAGGATGTAGAGAAAGGGGAATCCTTTGTGCTGCTGGTAGGAATGCAAACTGATGCAACCACTGGGGAAAACAGTATGGAGGTTCTTCAAAAAGTTGAAAATGGAACTACCTTATGGCTCAGTAATTGCACTACTGGGTATTTACCCCAAAAAATACAAAAACACTAATTAAAAGGGATACAAGCACCCCTGTGTTTATTGCAGCATTATTTACAATAGCCAAGTTATGGAAGCAGCCCACATATCCATCTATAGATGAATGGATAAAGAAGATGTGGTGTATATATACTGTGGAATGTTATTCAGCTGTAAAAAAGAATGAAATCTTGCCATTTTCAACAACATGGATGGAGCTAGAGTATAATGCTAAGCAAAATAAGCCAAAGGAAGACAAATACCATATGATCTCACCATATGTGGAGTTTAAGAAGCAAAACAAACAAGCAAAGAAAAAGAAGAAACCAAGAAACAGTCTCTTAGCTATAGAGAATGGACAGAGGACAGGTCGGGGGTGGGGGGCAATGGAGGAAATAGGTGATAGGGATTAAGAGTACGCTTGTATTGAGCACTGAGTAATGTATAGAAGTGTTGAATATTGTGCACCGGAAACTAATATAACACTGTACGTTAACTATACTGGAATTAAAGTAAAAAATTTAATAAAAAAGTAAAAAAAGAAGATACCATATATTTTCTTTACACATTTCACAAATAGTATGTAATTTATATATTTTGTTATTGTCAGTTTATCAGAATATAATAAAATGTTCACATATATTGTGTTTCGTTACATAAATAATGGAGAGAAACTGATTTAAATATCACATCCATCATGATACCCAGGATGGGTAATTGAAAGAAGTTTAGACTCTAAGAACAATGTGTAAAGAATTGCAGTTCCTTGGAATTGCTTTGTTTGTTTCTACGATACAGAGCTCGGTGAGAACAGGGATTTTTGTCTTACTGTTTTCTGCTCTATTTCCAGTGCCGGCAGGATAGGGACTCAAGACACATTTGTAAACAATTCATTCTTTAGTTATGCCTTTCTGATTATAATTTGTAAGTTTTCAAATATCTAACAAGTACCCATTAAAAATTTTAAGGGAAGCTAATGTTAAATTCAGGTTGTTGAGTCAGTACGGTACGATGGGAAGTTGAATGTTTGGGGAAGAAAGTGAGAGACAAGGGAACTTGCCATTGAAAGGGGGAGGTTTCGTGTATCATGGTACGTGTGGATTTTAATTTTTAAAAGTTTATGTTGAGGGCGCCTGGGTGGCTCAGTCGTTAAGCGTCTGCCTTCGGCTCAGGTCATGATCCCAGGGTCTTGGGATCGAGTCCCACATCGGGCTCCCTGCTCGGCGGGAAGCCTGCTTCTCCCTCTCCCACTCCCCCTGCTTGTGTTCCTGCTCTCGCTGTCTCTCTCTGTCAAATAAATAAATAAAATCTTAAAAAAAAAAAAAAAAAGTTTATGTTGAAAAATTTCAAAGGTTCAGAAAAGTTTCATGAGTAGTAAAATGAACTCCTGTGTGCCTTTCTCCCACACTCACCAGTTGGTAATATTTTGCTACGGTTTTTATCGCTCTTTAATGGTGTAATAAATACACTCTTTACTATTGTTATAAGTAAACTGTTTGAGTGTGTGCAGACATCATGACTTTTGCTCCTATGTATCTTGCTTAAGAGCAAGATGATTCTCCTCGATAATGTCAGTGCAATTTAGGAAATTGAACATTGATAAAGTACTGTTAGCCAGTGTACAGTGTAAACTTCACGAATTGCCACAATAATTTCCTTGTTAGTTGTGCTTTTGGAGGGTATTGGGGGTAGGGGTCGAGTGTTTTTTCCCTCAACAGGATCATACATTGCATTTATTTTTCACATCTCTTCAACCTGCTCCAAACTGGATTTGTTTTTCAACGTCCTTTTGTCTTTATGACATGGGCAGTTTGGAGGAGTATAGGTCAGTGGTTTGTAGGCAGTGGTTTGTAGGTCAACTTGGGTTGGTCTGTCTTATCATGATTATATTACAGTTACACATTTGTGGCAAGAATTCCACAGAAATGATGTGTCTTCCTCAGTACATCATATCAAGAGGCTCTTGATGTCAGTTTGCCCCATTGTTGGCTGTACTCATTTTGATCACTTGAGTGGGGGTGTTTACCAGATTTCTCTACTATGAAGTTAAATCACAAAGATTAATCTACAGAAATCTTTTATGTTTATATACATAAGTATATATTGTATGTATTATATTTATAAAGACTGTCTCCTTTTCATTAACAAGTAACCTGGGGATAGTGTTACTTAGACACTGTGTAATTATTCTGTTCATCAGACTTGACTTGATGGCTTTAATATCCATTGATAATTCTTGCCTGAATTGATTAAGGCAGTCATGGCTGCAAACTGGTGGTTTTCTAGCTCTAGTATTCCTTCTGTATTAATTAGTTGTCCCTCCCTCCTCCCAGTGTTAGATTATTTGAATTCTGGATAATCCAGAGAGGCTTATCAGCTGTGTTTGCATGTGGCCTGAGGAAGGACTCCCTTCCCATTCTGTCCAGCCTCACAACTTCGGCTGACTTCGTAACTCCTTGGCCTGCCTTTTGATTATGGATGTGATAGAAGTGTTTGTTTCATTTTTACATTTATGGTAAAACTGAAAAATATAATCACTGCCATTAAGAAATTGGTTCTTTCCATTGTAGGCCCAACATGATGGTAGCGTCTAACGCTCAGGCACCGGCCACACAAACCAATATTGACATCTAGAAGCTGTTTATATCATGCATCAACTAAATTTACAGAAGGAAGTAATGTGGACTTGGAGTCTGATTCTTAGTGACTTAGGTGGTTTCATTTCTCATCCCTGAGCCTCAGATTTTACGACTCTGAAGAAGAGACTATTATAATTGTCCTGTCTTGTCTTAGGGTTATGCTGGGGATCAAATGATATGGTACGTGGGAAAGTGCTCCGTAGGCCCCAGGTGCTAGGAGAGTACGGGTTGGTGCAGGAGACTTCCTGGCCAGATTGTTGAGAGCTATTAAATGTGTTTCCATCTCCCTGTATAAGTATTCTTGCCAAAGTGTTCATCTGAATCAAATCATGAGGAAACAAATTCAGATTGTGAGACTTTGTATTAAACAACTGGCCTGGATTCTTTAAAAATATTAATGTCATAAAAGACCAAAAGGACGAGAGAACTCAAAGACACAACAGCTGTCATGGGGGCGGGGGGTGGCAGGGAAGCAACTGTAAGGATATCATTGAGACAACTCATCAAGTTTGAATGTGGATTCAGTACAAAATTAATATCATACAGAGTTAAGTTCCTTGGGTATGATAATGGTGTTGTTAAAAAGGACAGGGGTTTTGTTCTTAGGTACTTCATGCCGAAATATTTAGGGATGGTAACGCAATTGAACCATTGATGTCTACAACTTATTTTTAAACAGGTCTACAAAAATAAAAATAACACGTATGTAAATACGCACGGGGGTATGCACAAAATGTTCAAAACTGGTGAGTCTAGAGGAAGAGTATGCAAGTGCTTATTCTTTCTATAATTTTGAATTTTTTTTTAAAAGACTTGGTAGTTTTATTTATTTATTTTTAAAGATTTTATTTATTTATTCATGAGAGACAGAGAGAGAGAGAGAGAGGCGCAGAGGGAGAAGCAGGCTCCCAAGGAGCAGGGAGCCCGATGCGGGACTCGATCCCAGGACCCTGGGATCATGACCTGAGCCTAAGGCAGACGCTTAACCATCTGAGCCACCCAGGCGCCCTATAATTTTGAATTTTTTAACATAAAGATAGGGAAAGGAATGTATTTTAATAAAATAAAACTGGTTTGAAACCACTTGAGGACAAAGTGGTCCATTGTATTTCAAGTCATTATTATATCCTGATGGGGGTGGGAAGCAGGCTAAGAGATTCTCTGAAATACAAAGAAAGGAAGGGAACCTAATTTAAATTTAAATGTAAAGTAGCAATATAAGGAGATAAAAATGTTAATGGGATTAACATGGTGCCCAATACAACCTGTTAAATGTTCAGTAAATATATGGAAGTGCTCTCTCTCTCTCTCTCTCTCTCTCTCTCTCTCTCTCTCTCTCTCCCCCCCCCCCCCTCCCCCTCTCCCCCCCTCTCCCCTCACATCCGGCATATTTGAGCCTCCACCATAAGTCACAGGTTCAGTAAACTCAGGTTTCATTGGCACCCACATTTGACTCTTCCCAACCCCCTCTGCCAACAGGCTGGCCTTTGTCTCGTGTAGCATCCAGAGAAAGACTAATTCCTGTGTGAGACTGTTAGAGCGATAAACTCTGTGGAATTTTTATAATTAAAGAAAAATAGAGGAAATACCTCTTATTGCCAGAGATTTACTCTTTGCCTCAACGAGAAGAAAATCATGCCCATTTCCAAATTCCTCTCCAGCCGTGTATGCAGTGCCCTGTGAAGCTGCTCATTCTTCATCTTGGTTAACTACAACACAGCACCGTAGAAATAGGGCGAGACTGCCGTGTGAGCCTGTAAGTGCATAACTAATCTTGAATTGCTGGATGGAATTGGAAAATGGAACAAACATGCACGCCAGCTATAAAAAGCACCGAAACAAACAGGAGCACTATGATTCCTGACTTTGCCACAAGGAGATGATGATTGATTTTTCCAGGGCAAGGAGTTCTATTTGCAAGAGCAGCCTGATGCAGCTGGTTTTTTCCTTTGTGTTGTAAAAAGAGAGTTACAGGGCAATTTGCAACTAACTAGTCTTAGCTTTGTTTTCTTCTCCTTAGTAGTAAAGAATCTCCTTTTTGGAGAGAGAGAGAATGAATTTTGGTTTTCTAGGGCTCTGGGGACCCTTCTCAGATTTGCAAGTTTTTGTTTTGTGACCTCTGTCTTTATCCCTAACAAGTAATTGAGAACGATTTCTTACTCTCTAATCCAATTTTGGGTTAGTAGGAGGGGCAGGAGAACTGGCTTTACATCCTAAATTCCCGTTCTTTTTGTATAGTTTGGGAATTTCCAGCATCTCTGTTTCTCTACAGGTAAACAAGAGAAAGGCAAGGATGAAGCTGCCCATCTCCCACTTTAAAGGGAGAAGTCATGGGCATGTTTGAGCTCTCTGGAAGAACCATCTGAAATAGAGTGAGCCCATGAATAAGAACAGGATTGAAATTAGCTGTAGTATAGCTGATAGGAAGTAAGACTTAATTAATAATTCAAAATTCACGAGTCTTAATTAAGCTGGGAACAACACACTTCAGCTTCTCAGACCACTAAGTCTCTTTCTAAGTCCCCCACCCACCCACCTTGAATAGTTGCACTTGACCTTTCTTTTTGGTCAATTTCACTTACCAGGAGCTAGTTCTGTAAAACTGTGAATTTGTTAGTCTATTGACATTGCCTAATAGATTCTCAATTCACATGTAGATTTCTCAGTTTTTTTTCTTGAAACAAAAAGGTCAGAGTTAGGAGGAGGCTTCAGGATCATTGAGTTCTACATTTTTATCCTATGGATGTAAGAAGTAAGGCCAGCGAGGAGAAAACTTACTAGCTCAGTGTACTGGTCTAGTCTAGCGCCCTTTGTCGAGCACCAGCTCCTATTCTATACCGTCACCCCATTAGCCTCTCCTCATCTGTATTTCCAACTACAAATGACAGCAAGACAGTTCCTGTTCTTTCTCTTGAGTTACAAAGGACTGATGTCCACTCTGTAAATTTGACATCCAGGCTATCAAAAGAGAACTGTATGTGAGATTCTTGAGGCTGTATCTGATTAAAAACTTAGCAGTTGGAGAATATTAATACTGCAGTAAGGCGGTATGTATCTACTAGGTATGTCTCTATTTGTCTCCTTACTGCAACATTAAATAGATAGATAATCTTAGTAATACATTTTGTTATATATGTATGTGTGGTGTATCACTCTCTTCTCCGTGCCCCCTTACCTCCCATACTGATGTCATTTATCACTTCCTTCTTTCTTTCTGCGTTAACATTTCTTGGTTTTCCCTTAACTCACCACTTTCTGTTACTGACGTGGATTTGAACCTTGGATGTAGCCCGGAACAACCTAGAGTATGCCAGAGGAAACCTCATCTCTCCACTCTTGAGTTCCATTCCATTACCTACGGCCCCACTTGACCTCATACCCAAGTTAATAGAGGGTAATAAGAAGCTGTTTGCTGCCCAGCACGTCACCGAACATCCTGTAGGTTTTCAACTCTTGGCATCAGTGAGCAGCAGGGGGCGCAGTGAGCGGGGAGGACCCAGGAAAGCAGGTGCCAAAGCCACGTGTATCTTGTAGTTGCAAACAGTCTGAGACATACTCTAAACATCTTTTTAAATATGTATAAACGTTGCCAGGTTACATAATAATTAGCTCATTTTTAATTACAGGTAAAACACAAATGCATTCTCATTGTAGAAAACTCCTACCATACAGATAAAGTGAAAAGTCCCCCATCTCTACCTTCCTTCCTTCCTGGAGGTAATGGTTATTAGTCTCTCTCTCTCTAGACTTTTTAAATGCACTAAAGCTTATTATGCACCTAGGAATATAAATATCTTTTCACAAATGGGATCATACTGTATTATTTTGCAACTCCCCCCCCACTTCATACATTTTAGACCTCGATGTGTGTGTATGTATGTGTATACATATAATTTCATTTTTTAAAAAAATTGCTGCCTAGGATTCTGTTGCATGAGTGTTCTGTGGTTTATTTAATAAATTTTCTACTGAGACTTCTGCTTGGTTTTGTTTTCCACTCTTAATAGTGGGATTCTTGTGATTGTGTGTGTTTTCTAATACAGATTCTTAGCTGGAAGATATACATTCCTTAAATTTTTAGAAGGACATTAAAAAGAGTCAGAGGAGAGGGCTGATGCCTCACGACTCGAGACTTTGGAGTCAGTCTCAATAGGGTACTGTGGCTGGGCTGTCAGCTGTACGAGAGGGACAGAGCTGGTGACGCTGGTGACGTGTGCACACAGCTCTGTCCTCTTAACCTCACAGCTGTGGTCAGCCCAGTAGTTCACTTGACTCAAGTCAAAACCACCAGGGGCCTTCCACTCCAGCGACTGCGGAGAAGGAAAGTTCTTTATTGGTTCTCAAATGGGATGGCGTGACTGTTGGAGGCAGCCAGTAAAATGAGCAAGGGATTGGAGCAGGCAGGACTGACAGATTCTGATTGGTAGATCTTTCCAGAGCCGTCCATGAGAGGTAGCCGTTTGTGGTGGAGTGGTTTCATTTTCTTATGTCAGCTGTGTTCTCTGTTTTTGCAGTTGGTCGCCCAATCCCTGTTCATCAGACTCTGCACCCAAGCCCGGAGCAGATTGAGGAGTTGCATCAGACCTATATGGAAGAGCTAAGGAAACTATTTGAGGCACACAAAAGGAAGTACGGTATTCCTGAGCACGAGACTCTCATTTTTAAGTAACTATACTCTGAGAAGGCATTTGAGAGGATGAGAGAACATCCCATTGGAGGATACATATTTTAAATAAGGACTTTTTTCTTTGACTCTGGAATCAAAGTGGCAACTGAAAAGTATTACTTGTGACAGATGTTGATGTGTATCCGTGGGAAATAAAAATACAGTGGGTGACTGTAGAAGAAAGTTGGAGATGACTATAACCCTTCTAATAATCCTCCTCATTTGGGAAGGTGCAAGCATTTCTTGGGGTAAGAAAAGGTTCAGGATTATTTGTGTGCTCAAAAAATGACAGTTTCCAAAAATAATTAGACCCTTTTACCAAAATCACAAGAATTTAAGGCGGTGTCTTCACTAAATATGACAGTTCTTATTTAGCACAGCTGGAACAGTTAGGAGACGGTGTGTAAACTAATTTTCCATACCGAGCTAGAGGAGATCATTTCTTTCTTTCTTTCTTTCTTTTTTTCTGCTTGAACAGACCATTTTTTGGTAAATAATGTTACTTTTCAGAGTTAGATAATTTGATCCTTTAGGTCACATCAACCAATGCATTTTTATACAATAGTGCAGAATTTTTATGCAGGTTTTGAAATAGGATGAATCTACCATCTGGAAGCCCATGTGGAGGAGAGCATGTCTCCTCATTTCTATTCATGCTTAGAAATATTCATGCTTGTCATTTGCTCAGAAGTATGTTCATTTGCTATATAGACAAGGAGGTCTTTTGGGAGACATGCTTTAGAACATTAAAATTCCTAAAGGTTTTCATGGTAATAGAAATGGTTTTAATTTTCTTCCCAAATGGCCTCTTTGAGTAAGACCAGCTATGAGAGGAAGTGCACTCTCTGGTTGTGAGGTGCCCAGTTACAGCTGTCTGGTCCACGAGAGTGGGAACCCTGTTCCTCCTGTGCATTGACCTCTCCCCAGTGCCTGGGTCGGGCACAAGATAAGTACTTGTTTAGTGAATGTATTTATAGATGAACCCACAAACCACCTTTGCCTTAAGGTGAAGAATTTTTATGAACCTATTCTAAGAAAAGACCCTCTTTCAGAAGGAGAGAATGTGCTGGGTCTGTTTGTCTCAGG